TTTTAACCGAGACTTAGGTGTCCTCTACGTCAGAGAAGATATCTGTTTTCGACGCCTCGGTATTCTTGAAGGTACGGACGTGTCCATCCTATGGCTGCGCGTAGACAGCGACGACCATCCCCGCGTCTACGGGTGCCTCTATAGGTCCCATAGCGGTAATGCCGCCACAGACCGACTCATCGACCACGTTCAAATGGCTGCAGACTCTGTGCTACAACAGGTCCCATCCACAGAGATCGTGATACTCGGTGATTTCAATGCCCCCCACGCTGAATGGCTTGGTTCTCGTTTAACCGATCATGCGGGTAGATCTGGCTATGACTTTACTTTGGCATATGGTCTAACACAACTGGTTACTTCGCCCACGCGGATCCCAGATGTGGAAGACCATGTACCTTCCCTGTTGGACCTTCTGCTGACCTCTCATCCAGACGGATATCAGGTCTCCGTCGATGCCCCTCTGGGCTCTTCGGACCATTGTATGATGCGGAGTACGGTGCCACTCACACTCCAATCGCAGTTGCGATCTGCAGCTTGCCGCCGTGTTTGGCACTGTAGGTCAGCTGATTGGGACGGGATGCAGTCTTTTTTTGCATCCTACACTTGGGGGCGGGTTTGCTTCTCGCCGGAAGATCCCAGCGTTGTTGCCGATTCTGTTGCTGATGTGGTACTTCAGGGTATGGAACTTTTTATTCCATCCTCTGTGGTGCCCATCGGAGGCAGATTCCAGCCATGGTTTGGTCGCTCCTGTAAAGTAGCATCACGCTATAAGCAAGAGTGCTACCGGGCCTGGGCTGACGCATCAACGTCTCGGGATGTAAACACCAGCGTACTTAAAAAGAAGTATAATTCCGCCTCCAGGTCCTTCAAAAGCGTCGTTGCCAAGGCAAGGTCTGAGCACATCGGCAGAATTGGCGAGAAGCTAGTTCGCCTTCCTTCGAGAACCCGTGCATTCTGGTCTCTCGCCAAGGCTGTCCAAGGGAACTTCTGTCAGCCATTTCTTCCATCTCTGCACAGAGAGGACGACTTACTGACCCATGCCGCAAAGGAGAAAGCCGATCTGTTGAGCTCTCTTTTTGCGTCCAACTCGACTCTAGATGACGGGGAGAACACACCGCCGGCCATACCCCGATGTGAGTGCTCCATGCCGGATGTGCGGTTTACACAGCGCTCGGTTCGCAAAGCAATCTTCTCCCTGGACGTCAGGAAGTCGAGTGGGCCCGATGGAGTCCCTCCCATTGTGCTGAAGACGTGTGCTCTGGAGTTGGCACCAGTTTTAACGCGTCTTTTCCGGTACTCCTACTCCTGAGGCGTAGTCCCGAATTCATGGAAGACAGCTTTGGTCCACCCGATCCCTAAAAAAGGCCACCGCTCAGACCCGTCCAACTACAGGCCTATCGCCATCACCTCCTTGTTCTCCAAAATAATGGAATCCATTATAAACTGACAGCTCATGAGGTACCTTGAGGATCACCAGCTGATTAGTGACCGCCAGTACGGTTTTCGTCAGGGTTGATCAGCTGGTGATCTTCTAGTCTATCTTACTCATAGATGGGCGGAGGCAGTAGTCGAAGGGAGAGGCATTGACCGTTAGTTTGGACATAGCGAAGGCCTTCGGTCGGGTCTGGCACAAAGCGCTACTTTCGAAGCTTCCTTCCTATGGGCTTCCCGAGAAACTGTACAAATGGATCACCAGTTTCCTTCCTGATCGGAGCATCAAGGTCGTAGTAGACGGTGCATGCTCTGATTTCAAGCCTATCAACGCTGGTGTTCCACAAGGCTGCGTGCTATCACCAACGGTGTTTCTCCTGCATATCAATGATATGTTGCAAGCTGGTAGCACTCATTGCTATGCACACGACAGCACTGGTGATGCCTTATATACCGGCCGTGCCAATATTTCTCGGGAAAACGTCGCCGAGTACCGGGACAAACTTGTGTCTGAAGTCGAGTCTGCTTTAGAAAGTCTCGGATTGGGGCCGACTAAATCTAGTCCAGTTCAATCCCCAGAAGACAAAAGTTTACGCGTTTACCGCTAAAAAGAGCCCCTTTGTCGTATCTCCTCAGTTTCAAGGCACCCTTGCTGCCTCAGCTAGTATCAGAATCCTTGGCGTTGACATATCATAATAGTGTGCAATTTCGTGATCACTTGGAAGGGAAGGCCAAATTGGCCTCTAAAAAGCTTGGCGTGCTCTGCAGAGCGAGACTGTATTTCATGCCGGCTCATCGCTTGCAACTTTACAAAGCGCAAGTTCGGCCCCACATGGAATACTGTTCTCATCTCTGGGCCGGGGCACCCCAGTGCCAGCTGCTTCCACTTGACCGCATCCAGCGCAGAGCGGTTCGAATCGTCGACGACCGAGTTCTTTCTGATCGGCTCGATACACTGGTACTGCTTAGTGATGTTGCATCTCTTTGCGTGTTTTATCGCATCTATCACGGGGAGTGCTCTGAGGAATTGTTCGGACTAATTCCAGCCGCTCAATTTCACCATCGCACATCGCGACAAAACTCGCGTTACCATCCATACCATCTGGATGATTGGCGGTCCACCACTGTGCGATTTAGAAGAAGTTTTCTCCCTCGCACAACTTCCTTGTGGAATCAATTACCACCAGCGAATTTTCCGGACCGATACAACTTAGGAACCTTCAAGAAAAGAGCTTACACCTTTCTAAAAGGCCGGCAACGCATCTGCAATTCCCCTGGTGCTGCGGTGCTGTTGTTTATGGGCGGCGGTAGTCACTTACCATCAGGTGAGCCGCATGCTCGTTTGCCCCCTCTTCTATAAAAAATAATAATATTAATGTAAAATAAGTAAATATTTAGTTTTAATAAATACATTCGTTGTAAGAATACGAGTAAATGTCTTTTCTTTTTTCCTCTACACATTTTAATAATAATGATACATAATAAAACAACAATAAAATTCAATGTATAACTTTTATTATATTTTACAAGCTACATTACTTAAATTACTAGTTCTCACATAATTTTTCACCTATCTTTTTTATAAGACAATTTGTAGTATCTAACACTTCATCATACATTGAATCCACAACATATTGAACATCTGCGATTCCCCTGGTGTTGCAGTTGTTCATGGGCGGCGGTAGTCACTTACCATCAGGTGAGCCGCATGCTCGTTTGCCCCCTCTCCTATAAAAAAAAAAAAACTTATATTAGCACTAAGATCGTGGATGACATTTTCTTCTTGCTCGTTAAGTTCGCAAATGCTGATTTTAATCAGACGATGACCTCGTTTATCTTTATCTCGGCGGATAATGTATGATGATGATGATGATGATGATGATGATGATGATGATTCTTGAGAACGTTTGAACGTTGAGAAATTTCTCTTCCTGTAACATTTCTTTGATTTCGATTGCCGCTCTTCATTAATAGCTATTCTATTTGGTGGTAAATCGTGAAGCTGCTCCTTTCGGTTGTAATAATTTAGTGTAAATTTATCCACATCCTGTGCATAGTAATACGGATTAGTGATAGGATGAGAATCATTGTGTTCCTCAGTGTTAGCCATGATCTGCAATTAACAAAAACAAGTATGAAGTCAAATAAAGATAATGGCGGCTGAATTTCTAAATAGTAAAAAAAAATGATTAAACTCACCAATATAGATGATATTTGACGAGCGTTGTAATCAACCACCACAGTTCCCACGCTTAGGGAGCGCGCTTGGCAAACGCAGTTTCTTATTATTTTGGGTTGTTATTAGGAAGACGTTGCCTCTTACTACACCCACGAGATGATATAGAGTGGTGTATTCTCACCGCCACTATACGACGAATTTTCATTAGGTATGATTAATTTGTAATCTCTATAATATCGAAATGACTTCTATTAAGCTCAGGTCGTTATTTGTATTATAATAACACGAATAATCATCTTTAAAATTTTCGTCCGTCCGTCCTTAACCGTGGCTTAACCTCCTGAATGGGTAAACTTCACGAACAAATACAGAGCAATGCCAAGGGAAGTGATCTTGGCTATATTGTATCCAAAAAAACATGAGCTTTTTGTGAAATCGAAAAACTAGGTTAAAATGCGATGAAAACATAACGCTAATCAACAAACAAATGACTAATTTTGAAAAAGAATTCATCGTTCATTCATTCGTTCAAGGAAAACATCGTGAGGAAACCTGCATGTCTGAGAAATAAGAAAAAAAATATTTTGAAGACATGTCAAGTTCGCCAAGACGCATCGGGGCAGCGCGGCGGGCACTTCCTAGCCCTAAAACCCTCTCAGAAATGATAGCCTGTGCCCAGCACTGGGACATAAATAAGCTGCAACTTTACTTTACTTACATTCATTACACATATGTATCTATGTAACATATATGTACGCATCCATTGAGGTAATATGTTACGTATGTAAAGCCGCGTCTCCACCAAAGTTTTGTTGCCAGCAACAGTTGGTAACAAAACTTGAAACAATATCGGGAACCGTGTTCCTATTTTCGGCGGCAACATCAAAGGAATACGCTCGTTGCAAACATTTGTTCCCTCGGTGGAGACGCTTGTTGGAAACAGAAACATAACTGTTGTCAACATTTTTGGTAGATACGCGGCTTAATACTTACGTAGTACATATTACATTTTGGCTGCGGTACTTCTCATCCTACGTGATGCCACCACATATAAGTAGACGATTTCGCTACGGTGGTACTTCTTTTAGAGGGCGAAGGGATACACTTAGCGTTACACTATTCTTATAATTAAAAAGATCGATCACAAAAATATTTTGAATGCTAAACAAATATATTTTATTAAATTTGATTATATTTTATGAAATTACGACATATTACATACATTTAGCTATTTACAGGAAAGGTAATAGTTTTTCCAATAAGTAGGTAGGTACTTAATAAAATAGAAAAAATATCATTATTTTTAAAATAAACTTTTAGACACAAATACAGATTACATTATAAGATGAGCTATCTTTATAATTTATACAGGATACAGATAATAAATCATTTAACAATATGAGAGTAATTCATCTACACTACAAGCTTTGAAGCAACATTCGTCAACAACGTAGCGCTTCCCGCGTGACGGCAATCCCATGCTCCTGGCCTTCTCAGGTGATAACCATGGCCAATAAGCGATTTCTTGCTCTTTATAAAATGGAGGCATGATTGCGTCTGTAAAAAATACATCGTTTTTTTTTTATTATTTATTTGGATAAATTAAAAATTAAAACCAAGAGTTGTAAGTACGTGCTATATCTTTACATTAGACACTAGCACCATTTAACAATATTTAAAAAAATATCTTGAACATATCATCTAGATGTAGTGTTATTCTAATTAGACATTCATTCATTCAGTATAACCTATCACAGGTCCACTGCTGAACACAGGCCTCATCCATAGAATGACTCATATATAGGGATATTTCACATAGTTAGTATATAGTATAGTATCCGGGCGGGTAACCGCAATTTTCTTATTATTATCTATTATTGCCTTGTTATCAGGAAGATGCTACTGCCCATCTTCTGCATATGCAATGTTATCCTGGTTTACCGTCATACCAACTAAATACTTTTGAAAGATGCGATGAGCTTACTTTAAAGTGTGTTTTAAATAATAATTACTTACTATAGACAGAATTATATTCAGCCCTCTTCCCGACGCCAGCGCTTTCATCATAGCATAACAGTGCCAGGGTCTTCGCTAGTGTCGGTCCACAATACTTCTGTGGTTTCATATCTCTGACATCTTGAAGCGATATCTGGCTACCAATGTGACCACAGCAGGTTGAAATCAACAAGGAAAGCGTTATAAAGGCAAACGTCTTTTGTAACATCTGGAAAGGATTGATCAAATTCAAATGTTTAAAAAGAATAAAGTCTCCATTTCGGTGATAACTATAACAAAATTAACTTAAGTTGCGTGTTGCTTATTACGTGGGGCACACTGAAATGATAGTGAATAAGAAAAACCACATGCACGGTATAACTAAATTGTATTTTATTGTTTTTCGAAGTATTCTCCGTTCAACTTAATGCACTTTTCCATTCGTGAAAACCAATCATTAAACGAGTAATTCCAGTCTGAAGTTGATGTTGACTAAATGGCTGATTTGTACGCTTCCACAGCTGCTTCGGGGTCTTCAAATCGTTGACCGTGTAATAAATCTTGCATTCTAGGGAATGTAAACAAATCGTTTGGGCTCAGGTCAGGACTGTACGGAAGATAGCTCATCAGCTCAACGTTTTCCTGCTTCAAAAAATCATTAGTCTTCCGAGCCGTATGGGAGCTCGCATTATCGTGATGTATGATGATGCGACGTTTTGGGTTATTTTTTCGGAGTTCGGCTATCGTTTCTGGCAAAGAAACCGTGATATACCACTCAGCGGTAACCGTTCTGCGTTCCTGTAAAGGAATTGTAGCAACATGCCCCTTTTTCGAGACAAACGTAGCGACCATTTTCTTTGACACGCTGCGGGAGCGAATCACTTTCTTTGGTTTGACCTTGCCTTCGAAGACCCAAACTGCTGACTGATGTTTTCTTTCAGGTTCGTATGAATAAATTCATGATTCGTCACCTGAGACGATATTATAAACGATATTTGACTTCCCTCCGTTGAAGCGTTGCAGAGTATTCTGGCACCAATCTACACGAGCCACCTTTTGCTCTTCGGACAAATTGTGGGGAACCCAGCGGGAAACTAGCTTTCTTACACACAGCTCATTATGTAATATCAACTGAATTGCAGTCATTCCGATACTGATAACAGCCCGAATCTGCTCGTATATCACATGATGGTCATCTAATATAATAGTTTGCACAGCTGTGATGTTTTCAGGCGTGACCACTGTTCTTGGTCGACCTGCAGAAGAAAGTGCTGAGCGATACACGACCGCGTCGGAACTCGACATACCAGCGGTATATTGACACCGGTCGTTTGACTCGGTGCTTCAACATCATAAATCGAAACAAGTTCGCTGAGACATTTATCTTGAGATAAGCCGCGACGAAAATTGTGATAAATTATGGCACGGAAATGTTCACGCGTGAGCTCCATTTCTGTTGACGACGTGTCAACTTTAAACCAACATAGTTTTTGTTTTTAAACATTTTTTTTATTGTTTGAATGTCATTAAGATTCTATAAGGACAGTATTCAAATTCTAAAAAAGGTTTTATTGTAACTCAATCCAAAATATTCTATTCCCGATCATTTCAGTGTGCCCCTCCGTAGTAATAAATAAATCTTAAGTTGCGCATAAAATTATTTTAGATGAACATCTACATCATCTACATCGATAAAACAAAAATCTGATTGACTTAATTTTGACTGCCAAACGGCTACTGTTAAGTGATGTCGCATTGATCACCGAATGGTGAAAGGCACCTTAACGTTAAGTTTGAAAAATCAATCACATGCATAACTTCCGATACTGCGATCGTCAATCCGCCAAACGTGACGATTAAAGCCTATCATCCCTACAATGGGGGAGGTCCATATCCAGCAGTAGACTTCTATTGGTCAAAAGAGAAAGAGAATGAGTAATTATAATTAACATTGCGATATTAAAATCACTTACCTTTGAAGTTTTCCACGCAAATCACCCTTATCGAATGTGTTAAGACATGTTATTTATTCGTATTTTATACCCCCTATGAAAATGCGAGGGTGATAATAAATATTCAACAGCGTGCCCACTCTTTGACAAGTACTTGTTTAATGAGAACTGAAATGTGACCTTGATTCTATAATAATCTTCTGGGATGGTATGAAATAAACGCTATTGTACAATAAGGAATAGTGTACATTGTAAAGCTTTTAAAATTTCACATGATTTTATGGAATTTTGTCGCATTGTAGTGGCGTTGATATAAATGGCGGAACATTCACTGTGGTTCTTCAGTTTAAATAGTAGTAAGGTAATAATATAAAATTAAAAATTTTAATATAAATTATTAAGAATAACTGAAAAACTATTGGTCAGACCTTGATTAAATTTATATGGGACCACACGTGAAGCACCGGCTTTCAAATAAAAAAAAAAAATCATCGAAATCGGATCACCCAGAAAAATATGAGGTAACATCGTCGAATTACGTACCTCCTGTTTAAAATCAGTAGAAAACAGAATAATAAGCTCGCAGTACGTAGCGGTAACTATGCAACCATTGCTTATATAGCTTTCATGGTTTAAACCTGGTGTCAGGCTTTTCAGTTATTTTGCCGACTCTACCGACTGGTCGAAAATAAATACCTACAACGAAATCCTCCTGGAAGCTCAAGGAATACAGAATAAAAAGACAAAACTAAGGCTTCTAATAAGAAGGAAATCGGGACTAAGCTCAGGAAGTGACGATGGAGGCTGTTAACTGAAATTATTATTGTTATCGTTTCTGCAAATGGATTCATCTCGGTCAGCCTCCCGGGTCATCTGATGAGGCTGGGACTCCGCGAAAGTCCGCTCCGGGCTCAAATGCAGATGGTGGTGCTCCTCGGTATTACCCACATCCTACTTCCCTTTACACTGGTTTCCTTCCTTTACGCCTAACTTTGTTTGCTCTGCCGGGGGCTGCCGCCTAGTTGGTATTTATTTATTTATTTTACCTTATTTAATAGGTATTAGAATTATAATAGTAACGTATATTTTATTTTATTCATAATCTTTTTTATATTAATAAATATATTTATAAGTCCCAAACGGACGAGAATACTACAATATACACACATATATACGAAAAATTATAATAAAATGTATTATACTAAAAAGTTTATTATACGAAAAAGTATTATAAATACTTGCCTTTGGTCGAAATTTCCATTAAATACGACAAAAACCTTAAAACGAAGACAGAAATAAGAAGACAAACTTTCTGAACCTGGCCACAGAATAAATAATAGTACTGAAGAGCAATAGTAGGGCGGTCTGCCGACTGATGATATTCAAGTAATTCTTGTAGAATTCCCTGTGTGGTAGTAGTGACTTTCCCTGTATAAACCAACGTAAAGTAAGTATAACTAATAGATTGTGTGTACACGAATAAGTAAATAAATACAATCAAGTAGTCCCCACGTATATCAGTTCATGTTATAAACAAATTCAGTTATGTCTCAATTTCTTGAAAATCAGTATCTTGCTTATATATTATTCACTAGGTGGACTCCTCTTCTTATCTAAACCTATACTTGCTGCCAAGCAGTGTATAGTACATAGTTTGTGTATTATAGTATTCTATGATCTGTGCAATCCAGTGTATGCAAAACTTAAGGTACAAAACAGGCGGCGTAAATTAAAAGCGCATAAGATTAAAATAGATTATATCGTCTCATTAGAAATGTAGATCTGTACCTGTTATATCAAAGCGTTCAGTGTGACTATGCTCATGGGTGTGTGTATTCAACGCGATGCTGTGAGCGCCTGGTTCAATCCCGCCTTTGTATGGTTTACAAATTATATTTCCGGGTCTGGCTTGTCCTTGTGTAATTGATGTATGTAAACCACCTCCACGATACAGGAGATAATCCAAGTGTAACGTATTTGAAACTAAAAATAAAATTATTTATGTATTCTTCTTCATTAATAGTGAATAGAACAGAATATAGAATAGAATGCGTGGCGGCCGCAGCAGTATTCTAAACAATGTTCGCCGACGATGTGACGGGCTTATGCTAAGTACCTGGAACAGTGTATTGAAATGTAATTATAAATATTTAAGAAACTAACATTAGTATTTAAGGTGCGCAATGTATTACAAAAATATTACTATACATACCTTTCTGCAAAATGTACAGAAGTCCGAGGAGTACAATTTGCCACTATGTCTGGCCTATGTGCACTATGAGAAAGCCTTTGATGCCGTCGAAATTTGGGCGGTGGTGCAGCCCCTTCAGCGGTGCCAAGTTGACTGTCGGTATATCGAAGTGCTGAAGTGTTTGTACAGTAGGGCTACAATGGCTATCCGAGTACAGAACCAGAGTACGAAACCTAACCAACTGCAGAGAGGTGTAGGACAGGGTGACGTTATATCACCGCAACTCTTCACCGCTGCATTGGAAGACGTTTTCAAGCTTCTGGACTGGAAAGGATACGGTATTAACATCAACGGCGAGTACATCACTCACCTTCGATTTGCCGAAGATATTCTTTATGGCAGAATCGCTGGAGGACCTAAGCACTATGCTCAATGACCTCAATAGTGCCTCCCAACGGATAGGTCTTAAGATGAACATGGACAAAACAAAGATCATCTTTAATGTCCATGTCACACCTATGCCGGTAGTTGTTGGGAGCACTAAGCTCGAAGTTGTTGACGAGTATGTTTACCTGGGACAAATAGTCCGACTAGGTAAGTCCAACTTCGACCGAGAGGTCAATCGACGGATTCAACTCGGCTGGGCAGCGATCGGGAAACTACGACACATCTTCACGTCAGGTATTCCTCAAAACCTGAAAACAAGATTGTACAACCAGTGCGTTTTGCCAGTTATGACTTATGGATCTGAGACGTGCTCCTTCACTGCTGGCCTTATGAGGACGCTTAAGCTTCTATCTTATCTCTATCTTAAACTTCTATCTGCAGTAGAAACAGAGTACCCGACATAGCCCAACGGATTAGTAAGCTGAAGTGAACCTAGAACCGATGGAGAAGAAAGGTTCGCGAGGGGCAGGCTCGTACCGGAAGGCGAAGTGTATAGGGCGACCCCCCCCCCCCCCCGCCCCCCTAGATGGAGTGACGACCTGGTAAGACATCCAGGAAGTCGAGTCGAGGCAGGTGGCTCAGGATCGTGCTTTGTGGCATTCCTTGGGGGAGGCCTATGTTCAGCAGTGGACTTGTAAAGGGCTGTAATGATGATGATGATGACGATGAATGTATTACTAACAAATTATGGATCAAGGTCTGAAATAAAAGAATTATTATTATTGTATCAATTCTTTATATTTCTTCTGTTCTTTGAGAGTTTGAAACACCGCACACACGGGTCGGAACTAAGTATGTGAGAGGAAATTTAAATTGTAAAAGTGGATGATAAAGTAGAAGAAGTCAAAACTTTCGGGTGATGCGACAGGTGTTGAGGATGGTGGCTTTTTGGAGCATGTGACGTGTATGAGTAGGCATGCGTAGTGTGTTAAGGCTTTGTGTGAGTGATTTTGGTATAATACCGGTGGATGAGAGAACTATAGGGACGATGAGAACATTTTGTGCTTTCCATTAAGTTTTTATTCCTATGGCAAATTCTTGATATTTACTTACATCAAAAAGCAGAAGAAAATTATAATTTTATTCATAATTTAATTATGAGCGACGAAGCTCATTTCCAATTAAGTGGGTTCGTTAATAAGCAAAACTGCAGGATATGGGCTACGGAAAATCCGAGAGTAGTTCAACAGCGAGAATTACATCCATCTAAGTGTACGGTTTGGTGCGGTGTTACATCGGAAAGGATAATTGGTCCTTATTTTTTTGAAAATGAACACGGGGGCGCCATTTCCGTCAATGGTGTCAGATATCGGACAATGTTGGAATTTTTTTTAAGGCCAGTCGTGGAAAACCATCCGCAAGTATGGTTCCAACAAGATGGAGCCACAGCGCACACTGCAAGGGACACAATGGCTTTTTTACGGGACATCTTTGGTGAACGAATTATTTCGCGTACAAGTGATTTTAATTGGCCTTCGCGTTCACCGGATTTAACCGCTCCAGACTGTTTTCTTTGGGGTTATTTGAAAAGAAAAGTCTACATCAATAAGCCTAGAACCATCCAGCAATTAAAAAGTAATGTATGCGACGAAATAAACAACATAACACCTGAAGTTTTGCGAAAGGTTATGGAAAATGTGTTGGAAAGAGCACGAATATGCGAAGCAGAAAATGGCAACCACTTGCGAGATATTATTTTTCGTAACTAAACTAAAAATATTCCCCATTTATACACTGTATTAAAAAAATAAAATATTTAATAATTATGTTTTAAATAAAAAGTTATAACGAATTCAAACCCCTTTGTTAATTTTGGGCCACCCAGTATATGCGTACTGGTACTTCGAAACAATGAGATAGTAATAAATCAGCTCTCTGACAGTACGGTCATTTCATTTAAATCGCATACACTACAGATTTACATGCCCCTGTAATATATTGTATGGTTTCAGAGGTATTGTTGTAATGTCTGCACATGTCAGTAGTCTGATTGGAGTCCATTATGATGTATTTTATGTAATTACGAGTTGGTACTATTTGATCCTGTATGGCAAGCATAAAACCCTTGGTCTCGGGAAACAGTTCACCTCTTTTGAACCATTCGTTCGACTTAATTTTATCGACGTATGGCTGGCTAAGATAGGTTCGATGTCTTCCATGTAGGGCTTTTTCAGACCATGCTTCGATCTTTTGTTGTGTTCCCATAATGTGTTCATTAAATTGCGTGCTTCTGCTCTGTAAGTTAAGTGATGTAAATTTTTGTCTCTTTCCGTCATGTGTTTGTGTAAAGATGAGTGTTCTGATTTGTTATGGAAGTACGCTCTGAGCTCTGTTTGTTGTGTAAATTGTGTATATCTATCAGTCCTCTTCCCCCTTCTTGGCGTGGTAGTGTTCTGTGTTTAGTTAGAAGTGTATTGAGTATAAGTTGTAGTTTTTTGATGTCAGTTTTTGACCATCGTATAATTCCGAAAGAGTATGTGAGAATAGCTATTACAAATGTGTTGAGGCTTTAAATAGTGTTTCTAAAGTTGAGGTTGGTTTTTAAGCTAAGGTTGAGGCGACGTGAGAATTTTTTGAGCAGTTCCTGTTTTGTAATATTTTGTTGAATTCGTCTGGACTGTGTTGTACTGTGTTCATCCATTGGTTTAATTGATTCACCTGAATTGAGTATATAACTATTACTTTGAATCTTGCCTTTTACAATAGACTATTTTGCATTTATCTACTCCGAATGACATACAAATATCTTGAGAAAATTGTTGTGTTGTGTCTGCTAGTTAGAATAGTGTATTTTTGTCTGCTGGATATAACTTTATGTCATCCATATTCATTAGGTGTGTAGTGTAGTGTAGTGTGTAGTTAGTAATTGTGAAAGTGGATTGAGGGCCCAAAACCACAGAGTACTTAGAGCATCTCCTTGAAATATACTACGTTTTATACAGATTGGTTCAGTAGTTACACTCAAAGAGGATTGATTAATTTTAAGCACAGTTTGCCAATTTTGCATACAAGTTTCCAAGAATATTATTATTGTTAGTTCATCCACTGCTGAATATACATCTTTCCGAAATCCCATCGTAGAGAGAGTTTGCCTTAATCATCACGCTGTGCAGGCAAATTGATAATCTCGGTGCCAAACGACTCGCACCTTTGACGTTGTTGCCTATCGCCGCCGCTCTGGATATTTCATCACTGAAAAACTCTCTGCAAATTATATCAAATAGACATGCATCGGCTCAGAATAAGATAATGAACACATATTTTCCATGAATGATCTGGTAAAGTCATTAAGTCGTTTTGACTACTTAATAAAACATCAGTGTGAGTATCAGTGCTCCATACCAGGTTCATCAGAGACAGTGTGTGTAAATAATAATGTACACTCTATGACAGTGCCATGACAAAGAACATAAAGTTAACAATTAATTTAAATATTAGAAAAAAGTAAAGTTATTATGTATTGTGATGACTTAGGAAAAAATTGGACATGATGTTAAATAGAAAGAAAGAAACAGATTTTATTTGGCACATGCAGCACACTCAAGCGGATTACATAAAACACATAACATTTAAGTAGTCATAGAAACAAATAAAAAAAAAAAACAAAAAAATTATACATAGAAATCATGAAACAGGACATTAACTCCTTGTTTATAGATATGGTAAAATTAAACAAAAAAAAAACAATAAGCAAACAATAATATTGAAAAAAAATAATAATAAAGAACTAGAGAATAAGGAGTAATGCATAAGGTGTATTATAAAGATAATCCAACCGTTAATGCTGCTCTGCTCCAAAAAGGAAAGCCACTCAGGATATGTTGGAATGTATCAGAAGCACCCCAACCCTGATTTTCAGTGGCACCCTTATGTATTTAAAATAAAAATACACAAATAAGTATAAAAAAATATATATACATATATTATATATTCTTTATGTGCAGAGGGCAGTTCTGTTGTGTTAAACCAAATATAATAACAAAAATTATTTGTTGTAATATTGTCATAATTCTTATAAAATATTCTTAATACTGTAAGAGGTTGCATTGAAATTCACTCAGGAACGTAATTAAGTTTAAGTTACAAGCAAATACACAAACCAGCTGCAGTACACCGCTTCAATGCATAACTTCAATAAATAATATTTACATACTCAAACATACACACATATACATATATGCATACACATATACACATACACATTGCTGCATATCGAAAACTGCCTCGAAACGCAGCGGAGCGGTGTTGGGGCAGAAGCAACCCGTACGCCGAAGCTCTTGTCACTACATTTGTTAAGACGTTGTCTCGAGCCCAGCGTAATTTTTCATAGAGATAAGACGGTGCCCTGTATTTGATACAACTAAACAACAACGTAGCAAAATGCAACTGCCAGCGGTAATCCATTTTAAGCATTTTCGCATTATTAATGTAAGGTGTAACATGTGCACGGGGAGGTATTTTAAAACAGAAACGGGCACAGGCATTCTGCACGCGCTGTATAAGTTTCTTTGAACGGTTGAGAAGTCTTGGACCTATTACTGCATCTGCATAATTGAATTTGGACAGTATCAAGGACTCACATAATCTGATACGGACTTCCGTCTTTAATACTAATTTTTTAACTAATTAAATAATTATTTAAAAGTCCTTTACTCATAATGAATAAAGTTTTAGCTAGTAAGTTATGACTTAATAGCTCATTAATGATTCTTGTTGGGATAAGAGGCAATGTAAACAAAAATCAATTATTAATATATATTGATTATCGTGTAGTGGCGGTCAAGAATACCACTACCCCATATCCTCCCGTGGGTATCGTAAAAGGCGACAAAGGGAAACAGGCAGGAGATGGGCAGCAGCATCTTCCTGATAATAGCCAAAATTACAATAAAAAAACTGCGGTTGCCAACCCGCTCGCCAAGCGTGGCAACTATGGCAAATATCCCCCCTATGAATGTAACAAAGAGACGGCCCCCAGTCCCCGGCGGCCCGGCTATTCCTGGCTACGGTGGCGACCATGGTAACGGCGGGGCAGGGGGTGCTAAGAATCTCCGGTGGAGGTTCGGTTGCCACCTTAGACGACTCGACCTGGCAACGTACAACGCACACACCCTGAGGACTGACGAGAAGATCGTGGAGCTGGAAGAAGAGATAGACAAGTTGCGCTGGCATATTATAGGATTATCCGAAGTCCGAAGAGAGGGGGAGGACACGGTAATCCTCGAATCCGGCAACTTGCTCTATCACCGGGAGGGCGACTATCTGTCCCAAGGAGGTGTCGGATTTATCGTCCATAAGTCTCTCGTTAACAACGTTGTAAAGATCGGGAGTGTGTCGACGAGGGTTGCGTACCTTATACTCAGAATCACCAAACGGTATTCGCTGAAGGTCATACAGGTTTACGCACCAACCTCGGCACACCCCGATGGGGAGGTGGAGGAAATGTATGAGGATATCTCTAGAGCCATGCATTCCTCCAAAACCCAATATACGGTGTTAATGGGAGACTTCAATGCAAAACTAGGCACAACAGAGAACGGTGAGCTGAAAGTGGGGAAATTCGGAATAGGGCAACGGAACCCAAGGGGCCAAGAGCTGGCCGACTTCATGGAGAAAGAGGGACTCTTTATGATGAACTCTTTCTTCGAGAAGCGGCACCACAGGAAGTGGACCTGATCGAGCCCCGACGGTTCGACAAAAAATGAGATTGACTTCATTATGACGACCAGACGACAACTGTTCAGTGATGTCTCCGTGATCGCGAGGGTGAAAACTGGTAGCGATCACCGAATGGTTAGAGGCACACTGAACCTAAACGTTAAGTTGGAGAGGTCTCGTCTAATGAAGTCAACGCTCCGTCCCCCTCGTGCTCTGTTCCAAAGTCCCGAAACATTTCAGCTCGAGTTACAAAACCGTTTTCAGTGCCTAGAAGACTGCAATGAAGTGGACGATATGAATGACAAGCTCGTGGAAACTGTCCATGCGGTCGGAGCTAAGTTCTGCAAGACCTGCCGCAGAAGAACACAAAAACTCTCCGATCACACTCTTAATCTCATGGCTGTTAGACGGGAGATGAAGCTACATTCTTCAACAGACTTGACAGCATACAGGCATCTGAACAGACAGATCTCCAAATGCATGCGGCGGGACTTACGCAACTTCAATACAGCTCGTATTGAAGAAGCGATCGAGCGGAACCAAGGCTCCAAAGTCTTTGCCAGAGATCTGTCTGCCAGAAAGAGCCACCTGTCAAAGCTGAAGACAGAATGTGGCAGCATCGTTTCCGGGACACCTGAGATTTTGAGTGAGATTGAGAGGTTCTATGGGCAGCTGTACACGTCATCGTTGGAGCCACACGCAAGTGTGAGTAACGATCCAAGAGCGAGTCTCGTCCGACACTATTCCGAAGATATCCCGGACGTCAGTCTGAGCGAGATTAGAATGGCTCTCCAGCACCTTAAAAACGGTAAGGCCCCAGGCGAGGATGGAATTACAGCGGAGCTTCTGAAAGCGGGTGGAAGACCGGTACTTGAAGTCCTTCAGAAGCTCTTTAATTCCGTCCTCCATGGTGGCATTACACCGGAGGCGTGGAGCAGAAGTGCGGTGGTCTTGTTCTTCAAGAAAGGTGACAACGCTCTCTTGAAGAACTACAGACCGATTTCCCTTCTGAGCCGCGTCTACGTGCTGTTTTCGAGAGTCATTACGAATC